ATAGAGCATAAAAATATTGACGATGCGATGCTCAATAATTTATCAGCGACTCCTCTATGGTTGTCCCCGCACTGAACCTCATCGCTCACCAGATGCCACTCACTGCAAGTCATACGCATAAAAGTTTATCTGCTCAGTAATCTCAATCGCTATACTTGTCATTTGAGCTCATGTTGGTTCAAAAATTGTACTGGCTGGGTTTACATTTTATGAGGTTGAATTTTTGAATTGCCTGCCCCGATGCCAACTTAATTACAGGTACCACGTAAAATACCTACACGAATTCCCCAGACGAAACGTAATAGATTGTATGCTTTATGTCGCTCAATGAGCACTGATCCAATTTGTAATCGAGAAAATGGTTTCGATTTGTATATTTGAGCCCTGCGTACGGAGCTAGAAATCACCTTGCGTAACATTTCATGAGAAAGAGATAAAGCACAAATATTGTGCTGGGCACACATATTATGCCATTCTGGAAAAATTTAGACAATGCTCAAATATATAGATACGAAAGCCAAAATGAAGTAGATATTCAATTTTTCACAGTACCTGTACCCGACCGTAGTCTTACCGACCTCGACTGAGAATCATATTGCAATGATCGCGAACGCGAACTCGGAATCGCAACGAGGTGCGTAATTTTTAATTTTAACTTTGTGCCTGACAAGCTTACAAAAATCGATTGCCATTAGAGAAAAAATACTCATTGTCATTCGAATAGTATTGCTGTTAGAATTTATCGTATTTAATGTTTTTTATTGTCAATTATGATTCAATTTGTGCTTATCGAATAAAAATACCGCTTGAAAGAGAGTTGACCCAATACAAAATCTTTGACCTTGAAAATGAATAGCCCTGTGGTTAGGAATGAAATCACATAATTTAAAACGGAGACATTATGCAAGGCAACAACTTTGGGTGGATATGGCATAAACATACATATTCCTTTTATGTGTTCCTTTATAATGTGTGCGATAGAATACTTTGAATAAATATGCAATGGTAGTAATCATTGAAAAATGATTTAAAACTTTACCTATAATAATATTTTACTTAAACTGGAATAACATTAGATATTGAAAAAGCATGCTCCATTGTAGGACAAATGAGACAAGTGCAAACATGTGTGGTGCATGTGTGGGACAAGTAAGCAACGTCATTTTGATACATCCTGCCAACAGTGTACCAAGACACATGAAACACCGACGTTGATTGATTATTCCACGTAAAAAAATGATTAAGGATTGAAAATGTACGGCATCAATTATGTCTTTGATTTTTAACAAAAAAAATTTGTTTTAAATTATTCGAGTTACACAAATATATTTGTGCTAGTGGTAGCAAAATTCTTAAATCACCCAGAATCGCTGTTTTTCAATCTTACTTTGCATCTTTTCATTAGGGTATAGGGAAAGCATAGGCAAGGATAAATAATTAGCGCCAGAATCACAATAGACAAAGCAAAATGACGCTTGCAGTAGTTTTTATTTCAGGTCTGAATTTCCAATCTCGCCTGCTTTCTACTAGGGAAAGGTTCTACTTCAATAGTTTCAAAAATGCTATTCACGCTTCCATACCATTGGACGCAACGCAAAATAGCCACCGACAAGTAGAGAGAATTACCATGTCTCCGTTATCCTGGCCATTCTGGACAAATACATAAATATATATATTTCCCAAGCTCTCGCTATACTGTGCTTGTTTGCCTGAATGGCTCATAAGAAAATGATTTGATATATTTCTGTATTGTTTGACAAACAAAATCTTCCAATTTTAAAAGAATTTTTCACTATATTACGCAATGTTTGGAAAGCATTATTTCAATATTTATTAGTTTGCAATGTAAATAGACATAAAAAGTCATCTGACAGTACAACGGATAATCGTTAAAGGCCAGGCAGTTGTTTAGCGAGTTTGCCTCATTCAGTGAGCATATCAAATAGAACAGTGGTTCCCACTATTTATTACCACAGCTTATGGCGACTCATCTAGTGATTTTCTACAATGTAATTTTATTTTTGATGAATGAACTCAAAAAACATCAAAAAAAAACGTAGTGTTATTCTTCAAAGGAAAATAAATCTAAATCCTGTCTAAATTTCGGGGAAACACGGTAAGAAGTAAGAAGTACAAAACTGCTATACACAAAAAAGCCACATGGTCATTCTTTGTGTAGCAAATTTTTGTTCCTTTGAAAAGATTGTAAAAAGGAAACTTTCACAGATTCGGATTTAAATTCAATTTAATTTCTTTTGTTTTTTTGAAGATTTACGTATTCGAGTCGCCACCGGTCCTAATAGCCAGTATAATTAATTAATCAAAGCTTTCTTCATCATTTAACGACCCACTAAGATTCCTTTTGCGGCCTACCAGTCGCGACCCATAGCTTGGGAACCGCTGAAATAGAATATTTCAGGTTTATGTCAGAAGATAGAAATTGTGGGCAAAGCTGTTTATTTATTCGTATAGTTTATTCAGGTAGGACTCATATATAATTGACGTTATAATTACTTGGACTACTAATTTGATAGGAACGATGGCAAAGTGCTATGATTAAACAAAGGTTAAAGCTCCAACAATTTACAAAAGACAGGAAGGGACAGTCGTCGAATGGTAAAAAGCGCTTGGTTAAGAGTCTAAAAATACGATCTGACATAAAGTCTACATTGGCTATATCAATATTAAACTTATCTTCTATAAACCAGTAACCAGGGTCAATAATTCTTACAAATGTGCGTTGAATTCAATAAAACAAGCTGCCATACTGATACAATATGCATCCAAATAGGGAGTCTCGACTCGAATTCCAGTATCGTATTCATTATTAGTTCATGCATTTCATACGAACACCAGGATATACCTTTCTGAAGCGTTACTTCAATACGCTTCGCTACACAAAAGCACAACCTACGACGGCAAAGTAAATGTTCACAAACGATACGACTTTGAGCAAGTTATAATTATTGTTGTTCTTTTTTTTTACTAGGTAACTAGGATAGGCTATGATTTGTTGGCTATGCCTTTACCATGTACGACGTAGTTACGTGAATTCGTGGATTTCCCGACCGCATTTGGTAAGATTTTTTAGTCACAGCTTTTATGTACTAAGAGAACAACAAGCCAGCAGACAAGCACATGCCAATTTCTATTTTAATCATCGATGGTAAAACTTAGTGGTGCAGTATATTGAACTAAATGACTAACAACTTAAGTTCTGGATTTTTTGTAGTTCGCCCATTCCTGTTTTACAACAACATGTCAAATATGAGATAATAACATGTAATTCTTCTAGTTGTAGCGTTTTGAAACTTCAATAAAAAATTGTTCATATTGACAATTAATTTAAATATACATGCAGTTGGGAATTTAGCAAATTTACTTTACAGATACATATAGTTGGAAATTTTAGGACAAGACAAGAAATAAATTTGAAATCGAACCGACCAAAAGAAAATGGCCAATACAAAGCCAAATTGCCAAGAAGAAGACAACCCAGCAATATGCAATGCGTGCGATCATGTACAAAATTTCCCAGGAGATAATGAGGTACGTTTGACTGGTTTGAATAGCTCTACATTTGTCGCTTCAAAAATATATTTACCTTTAAGGAGGTAACTGATTTTGTTCGCTTACTTTACATCAAGTTGTGTGAGGGAACTGAAACCTATGGACAGGGGGGATATTTATTTGGCTAACACAGACATTCCCTGATCTTGTAATAGAACTAAAATAAGGAAAATCGGAATGAAATTATGGCTCAACCCAAACCTGGTACACACACTACGGGAGTACCCTATATTTTTACGTCGCCCACTTGAGCATTGAGCAACGCCTTGATATCTCACTTTTAAAAATCTAGCTCCTTGGGTTTGTGAATCAATATTTTTCTCTGTGTTATGATAGCAACAGAATATATCTAATTTAAACGGCGAGTGATGGCAGGCCCAGACCGACCAGTTAAAACGACTAGTAAATTTAACGACCAGTTAACGACTATAGTTGAATATACCGGCGACGTGTCACTTGTATCAGATTTCTAAAAACAATTTTCTGAAACTATTTCGAATAAAATTTAGCCGAAAGCTGCGAGTAAAATATACGAACACTTTTATATTTATTTTTTGTGGTGTTTTATACTTTGGGTTGAAACACTGTGTTTTAAAAAGAATTATGTTCACAAGGATCTTTGGGAATGGCATATTTATTTTGTAAAATCTCACTGAGCCGGTGGGCCAGTATTGGCCAAAGATCTTCCTTTTTAGGATGTTACATTTTTATCGCTCTTCTTCATTCAGTAGTTCCCTTTTTTCACCGAGCTGAAAATATACACCCTAAATACACAATGTAATAAATCGAAAGAGTCATCTCAAGAGTCATGGGTAGTCGTACAGGGAATTGTATGTAAGAAAGGCGCTGGTAAGCGCTGTATGAAAAATTTAATAAAATGATAAAATTGCAGGCTGTGGACAGAGAAAATCGTCACGCTAATAACCGAATTGCGTAAGTCGTTTTTGACGATTTTGAGTTTTTCCATGAAATAGGTATTTATGTATTGCTGCGCACCTGTCTGTTAACTCAGATTTTATTTTAAGAATTCCGAAACCCATAAAAATGGAGATTTAGTATGACATGCCCATTTGTGCAATTGTTTCGTCATAATGAATTATCATTGTTACAGCAGGACTATTGTGACATCACAAAGGCAAAATAACCCCGGCGAAGTATTTTCGAGTTTTTGCATCTCGGATTCTAGATTAGCGCGTATTAATTTGAATTTATACTACAGTATAAGAAGGCGTGTACTTGTGATATTCATTGTCCGAGTCCAATTCACCTTGGTTTCCTTTTATATTGGGTGCATTGCTGTTTTATTCTTTATATTTAATCTTAGTCTTCTTTCGGTGGATGTGCAGAACGTGTTATATTATTGAAATATATATTTTTAAACATAAAAAATAATGTATTTGAAACTGATTAGCTATTTTGGGGCTTAGACATTGTAGATACTGAAAATTACATTCGTTTTTGAGATATTTAGTTTTCAGGACTGGTGCATATAGTAAAGTTGCAAAATTGCGTATGTCCCCAAGTCATAGACACATTTCTGCCTAAGTCACAGTGCGCCATTATGACGTCACTTAACTGCGTCATACAAATTAACTTAAATCCGGCTACAATCAAAAAATTGAACCATGGCAAATTATTGACTCTCAATGGCATAACAATATCATTAGGAAGTTTTTTACGTTTTTCTCAAAACTGCTAAAAATGACTTACACAATTCGGTTATTAGCGTGACGGGATACAATGAAAGAAGAACACAGGATAAACAAAGAACCTTGAACCTTTTGTTGCTCGCGGGCCAAAATTAAAGGTTGCAAGTCTTGGCGGGCCGCACAAATTTTTGGAAAGTTAAAAACCTAACAGCGCGCGAAGACTACGACAATTCGTGAACTTAACTAAGTCGTATTATTTAAAAAAAAATACAAATGACATTTCTTGTTGCATTATACGTTTTCTAAATGGGCATCACCATGCAATATTATAATTATTTTCGATTACAGAGGCAACTTAATCGATATGACCTGTGATCGAACTAATTTAAATTTTAGTTTAATATTTTCTAATTCATCAAAAAGTAATATATTAAATTGATTGCTATATTTGTAATATGAAAAGAATGGCATGGAACAACAGAGCATATCTGTATACTTTAAATGTGCGCAACCTCCTACCTTATCTGATTCTCGATATTCTTTTAACAGTGAAAATATTTCTGGAACAAAATATAACAAACAAGTTGAATAAAATATAAAGTCTACTCTACAAAACTTAAGATGCAAATTGGATAAAGACAATTTAATATAATGATTACAAAAACCAATTTACAGGCCCATCACCTTGAAAAGCAAAGGAGGAGAGAAAATGAGAGAGACGAAGCGATTAGGAATTTTCAGAAGTTTATTCAATCAGTTTATGCATTGGAAGAGTTTGCTGGATACAGGAAAATTTTGTCGTCTGATGACAAAAAAGAAATTGAGGATGAGTGTATCGAAATGAACACATTTTTGTGCACAAATCCGGTGAGTCTTCTAAAAACTTTTCTTTTCATTAAAATTAAATGGGTATATTTCAAATTACATATTTGAAGGAAACATTTTTATCTTCATTATTTCATATATAACATAGTTTGTAATGCAATAACTATGTTCATAGCTTATAAAAACTACACATGTATTAACCTAATCATTTACAATAACAGGAGACTCTCGATATCCAACAAATACAAGACAAGAGAGAAGAATGTGCTGATTTTGTGAAAAGTCTGAAGGACAGTCTAAAACAAAAATATAAGGTATATGGGTATATTACATATAGGTATAAGGTTTCGGTTTTAAGGTACAGGGGAACTTAAATAATTATGAATTATATTATGTAATATTAATATGATCTGTGAACCAGCATTTCTGAAAAAAAGCTTCTACAAGACTTTCAAATAAATATGGTGTAATTCATATACAAATAATTGTTTCCAAAAATATTATCACATAATATAGTAAATAGAAATCTAAATTTAACAGGCCTATAAGGAATGGCGACAAGAAAAACAAAACGAACTAAACAAGGCAATCAAGAATTTTCAGCAGTATATCCAATCAGTTCAAAATCTTGAACCATTTGCTGAATATGATAAGTTTTGTCGTCTGATGATAAAAAGGATGTCGATGATAAGTGTTTGAGAATGAACAAATTTTTGAGCACAAATCGGGTAAGTTTTAAGAAAATGTACTTTATTTCATTAAATTTGAATAGAAATATGTCAATTTACATATTTACAACAGCAATCTTATCTATTAATTAATACATAGCAGCGATTGTAATGCAAGTCATACGTTTTTTAAATGTTTTTTTTGTCATTATTGTTTTAATAACATCGTTGCTTATTAAAGTTATACTAGGTATTTTGGAATATCTATTAAAAATAAGATTAGGAATAAACTACAAATTGAATATTTAATTTCGGAAAATAAAACGGTACTCCCGCAGTATGTGAACCAAGATGGCAGATACCGGAACGTAGTATGTGTACCAGGTCAGGGTTAGGCCTTAATTTTATTCCAACTTTCTTTATTTTAGTTCTAATACGAGTTTGGGGACAAGCCAAGTGACTCTTGTAGTATTTGTACCTGAAATGGTGGCCTAACCCTAACCTGGTACACATACTACGTTCCGGCGTTCTCCACCGTTTCCACATACTACGCGAGTACGAATGTAATTATAAATTGTACATTTTTATACCAAACAATCATGTCTTCATTGAGAAATATATTTACAAACGAAAATCAGATTAAAAATAAAAATTATTCTAGGAAAGCCTTGACATCAACCAAGTGAAGGAAAATAGATTAAAATTTGAAAATTTTGTTGCGAGTATGTTGAAATTTCTAAAGCAAAAATCTCAGGTAAAAATCTTATTTATTACATTTAGTGATCGAATTTCTTACACGATTAGATGCAGTATAGACGATTTGAGCTGCACATATATGGCTTTTGCTTCATCTATGATCTTGTCTTATTGGATAAGAACAGGAATGCTACACCGAGAATGAAACATTTAATTTGCAGCCCATGTATATTCTACTTTGCATTTGAAACAATAAATAAATACATCAAGTTAATGAATATTTATAAATGCATTTTTCTCGCTAAAACGTCAGAAATCTTGCAATTTTGGGTTTCTTTCTATTAACTCGGCGGAGAAATAATTGTTCTGGTCTAACAATTGTCATTCTTATTAGCTCGTGGACATTGTGACGAAAAAGAAAAGAGAAAAAGAACAGAAGAAAAACGAGGTCATTCAAAATTTCCAGCAATATATTCGATCAGTCGAATCACACGCGGAATTCAAAGCGTATACCAAGTTCCTAACTTCTGATGACAAAACAGAAATCAATGCAAAATGCCTTACAATGAAGGAAATACTCAACAACAACGAGGTGAATACAATTGAAAATGCAAATTTCTGTTGGATCACGACACACCTTCATCATCATTTATCATTTAACTGAAATAAAGACTTCCTAATGTTGATTACAAGCGGAGTCGTAGATATTTTGATTTGTCTGTTTCAATAAATAATTATAGTTTTTCCAAACTGCCAACACTGGTTACTATATAGAATATCATGGAAATAGATAATTTATAATTAATAATAAAATTAACTGTTTTCAGGAAAAGCTCAGCGTCGAACAAATTCAGGATGTAAAAATAGAATTTGAAGATTTTGTGACTGATATAGTAAAGAAACTTAAAGATAGAGACGAGGTGAATGAATTGAAATATAATATGGAAAAGTACCCGCAGGAAAACGGAATTTGAATTTCATACTCTAGCTAGATAACATTTTGATTTCAGTTTAAGCGTCCCTTATTCTGCCATATTTGTGTTTATAATAGTTCGTTACGATTGAGCGTTAACAGACATAAAAATGACAACACAAGATGCAAAGTTGATGATCTTTTCTTATATATATTGTACATTTCTCCACTTTTTGAAAATATTCTATTGGAATTAAGTGATTGAGACCATAATATCACAATAGCCTTTTAAGGGCATTCAAGTGCTGATTAGGAACATAAATTCATACGCTATTTCAAACTGCTATTGCTGGTATTGTGATTTGTTTATTTACTATCAACGCTGTATCTAATTGTTATATACGAAGTGTCCATATAGATCACATTGCGTGAGTTTTTCCGTTGTTAATCTTGTTAATATAGTTGTTTGTTTGTTGTTGTTGTTGAGAAAAAAGTTTTTTTTCGCCATTGCTAAAACAATCGATTTTAATTTTTAGTACCTGAAGACAAAAAAGTCGGTACAAGGCCATTAATGTGCAAATACAGAGCAGAAAAGAATAGGGAATAGCACTTTAAAGTGATACTCTCTTGCTTCAAAACTATATTATCTTTAACAGGAGGATCAAAAACAAAAGCTGGAAGAAGCAATCCAGAATTTCCAGTCGCACATTCAGTCCGTTAAAGATCTCAAAGAATTCGCTCAATATGAAACATATCTAACGTCTACTGATATAAGTGAAATCAATGCCAAATGTATATCAGCGCAATCATTCATCGACGAGAATATTGTGAGCTATTTTTGATTGTGAAATAATAAAAACCAAAATATGAATATTAAAATTAATCCACTTGAAAGTTTGACAAGTGCAACATTTATCATTATCTTTAGTCACGTGGAATTTGCAACAACGTAGATTTTTTCTTGTTCGTCTGACTTGAAATTTACTCGGAAAATGTGCCTCCATAACTGTCTGGCTTCAGTTGGTTTTGATATTTTAGTTGCTCTCAGATGAAACAGCCCGTGCTTTAGGTAACTTCCTTTAAAAGTAAGAAAGACGGCGTCTTTCTGGTGCCTCTATAAAAAGAAGTATTTTTAGTTTTTGTTTCTACTAAACATATGAGTTGAATATTTAGCATGGTAATACGGTATATAAGTAAACATTCTATCTCCAGGGAAACCTTTATATAAAACAAATCCAAGACAAGAGAGCAGAATTTGAAAGTTTAATCCAAAGTATCGTGACAAAACTGCAGAGCAAAGCTCAGGTAATCATTTCATTACGTTTTACATCATGTCAGAATAATTCAAAATCGATTTATATACCTGAAGTTTTGTTTATATTATATTACACACATCATCTCAAAATTACAGGGTTTCCATAAAGCCTCACATTTTCAGTTTTGTTATGAAGTCAGTTCTCAATTTATCTTAACCAGATTTGTTTTTTTAAATCTTTAATTATCTAAGTATTTTTACTTCATTTAATATATCTGCAAGGGCCAAAACTATACACGCTGTCGATAAATTCCCTTTGCAATTTTGAAAAAAATTAAGACTTTATAGACACCCTATATATAATATAGAAAAGCCTATTCAGGTATTTATTATTAAAAAGTAATGTCTAGATGTTAAATCATACATATATCTCTTTGTAAATTCATCTATTCGAAATCCTATTCTAATCTACCCCTGCCTTCTCACCAACACAAAGATATAGACAAAGAAGTAGTTACATACCTGTTACGATTCACAAAATAATACTCCATTTCTAAGAAAATCAGTTGATTATTATTTTTATACACTTTTCATTCAGATGGCCGCACATAAAATAAAAGAAGAGGAAAGAAAACAGTGGGATGAAGCACACAGAAACCTTCGCAAATTGTTAGATTCAGTTCGTACGCAAATAACAAACAGACATCTTGGCGAAGCATTTTCTCAATACATCGAAAACATAAAACATACTTGTAACGAAGCTGAAGGTTGGCTTCAAAGGAGTCAAGTAAGCGTGACAATTGTAAATTATATCTGCCATGTAAAATTAGGTTCCTCAAATACACAGTGGCTCACTTCATATCAGTGGGTGCCCCCTAGTGTCTTCTTTAAAGCTAAGTTTACTAATTAGGTAATGTACTACAGTGGACGTCATTCAATTTTGACCACAAAGCTCTTTTTCCTCTGAGTGATTGTGAAAAACGTTGCTTTGGGAAAATTCTGTAAGAAAAGAAAACTTTGTATTGAACTGATAATATTAAATTTAAAGATTAGAACACATGGCGGTGATTGAATCAGCACATTTAAAACGTTTTGTTGCTTCAGAGTGCACACAATTACAACATTTTTCAGAAAACCATCACTGTAGAAGAACTAGAATCAAAAGTTATTGAAGTGGAGACGAATCTTAAAAACCTTTGGAGTGGATTGAAACAAGAAATACAGGTGAATGTCTAGGACTCTAGGAGGATGGTTGACAACCGTTCAATATTTTATGCAACTATGCTTTGCATCCACACAGATTCTTGCAATACTAGTGCTTGCTTTCCTATCAGCATGTACAACTTACAATAGTGATTCCAAATCTAAAGATCCACCATTTGTCTTTTACAAGCAATAAAAATGACATCAGAGTCTTTTTTGATATATCAAATTACTTATTTTAGGCATCTATATCGTCAACCAAATCTTTTTACTCTTTAGCAATTCTTACTTTAATCGAACATCCATTTTTGGTTATGGCATTACTCACTACCCATTACTCATCCTACTCGTTATCCGCGTTACGTTATACGCGTTATTATCCTCATTAAGATTCCAGAACAAGTGTTAAAAACACTCAAAAATTCAGTTGTTTTCTGATGTGCAAACCAGGTTATCGAAGCAGAAAAGCAACAGCAAGCAAATAAAGAAAGAAAACTGACTGAAACTCGTGATAATCTCTTGGGGTATCTAGATTCAATTCGTCAGATGTGCGAATCAGAACAAATTGCTGAAACTGAATATGCAGATAAACTAAGTGGCTTATGCAATGAAACTGAAGAGTGGCTCAAATCTGAAGTGAGTCTCAGCATTGCTTAAATTAAGACGATTTGTTTATGCCAATTTCTCATCATAAAATACTCTTATAGTTGGATACATGGTTTACATATGCATCGTTTTTCCTAATTCTTGTTGTAGTGTTGTTTGTTATGTAGTTATCACTGAAGTATGTGTTGTGATTGTTGGAAAAAAACCTTTTTACCTAATTAAAAGGCGATTACATTTCGAATGGGAAACTTTCTCTGTGACGGGATATTTCGCTGAAAAATTTACCGTTTTATTTAATTAGAGGAGAACACTTTGTATTCTGCGTTGCCATACCGCCCTTGCAATGCTTGCACCCTCAGATCTTTTTAACAAATTTTTATCAGGCCTTGCAGTGGAGTAGAGTGTACCGAGGTCCAACATATGTGTTCCGACATACTTCTAATTTTTTTTAAGCAGGATCTTTAGTTCTGTCGTTTTCAAGATTTTGAATGTGATAAAACGATTGCTAACTGTGACTACTTTAACAGGGGATATCAGCAGAATCAATCCAAACTAAGCAAGAGGAGTGGCAAGCTACTGTGCAAGAAATCAAACAAAGTATAAGCAAAATGAAACAGGTTTGTCAATCCTCTTATTTGAAGATATATTGTGAGACTTGGAACAATTCTTCATCTCTGACATATTGTATTATTGTATGTACATTTTTCATGGATAAATAGGTTGATTGTGGCTGGATGGGTTTTATGCGCATATCAGTGATCGGAGTCGTTTTTCGTTTCTATTTGTTTCGGGCGTCTTCTGGATATCCAAGACCCCTCAACATACTTTGACATATACTTCTTTTAATGTTGATTGTTGTTCGATTTTTTATGCTATTCTCAATTATTGTTAGGCCTAATAACGTATTTTGCTGTTCAGTAACCAGTATTTGTTTTCCTTCAGCCCTAAATGCCATTTTTACTTTTTTGTAATCTTTATTCACAAAGTGTATTTATGTATGGTGGAAAAATAAATTCCTGATTAGTGGCATATATTTCCAAAGGAAAAAGAAGCAGAAGAAAATCTTCGACAAAAAGCATTCGACAATATGTGGAATTATATCGACGAAGTTCAAACAAAGATCGCAACTGATGTGGAAAACGATGAGTTTACGAGACCGCATATCAATAGGATTACAGAAAGCTGCGAAATAGTATTGGAGTGGGTTAAAAAAAATTATGTGAGTTCGAAATTTATACAATATGATATATAACACCCCTTAAAATAAAATGGTGCTTGGGTTAGACTTTGGTCACCTTTATCAAATACTCACGGTAAGTAATCTAAACAAAATATGAGAGATTGGGAAGCCACTCATATTTATTTTGTGTTAGCTTACTAAAACAAAATGGCGAGTTCCAACAAAAGCAAGTATAATAATTTTAAGAGTAGCAGGTAGCCACTTACTATTGTTTAGGGGAATCAAGTCATTGGCTGTACTTGAGCCACCTTTTAAGGACTTACGTTTACTCGACCTGAGTCATCGAAATTAATGGATTGAAAGTTCGAAGTGCCCTTATATCCACTCATTTTATTATTGTTTATTCATCTACCTATGACTTGGAATCGACCTGTGACTTGATTTGCGACTTATGATTTGGCTGCGGCTGTGACCGTGTATTGCGCTGTGACACGTGCTTGAATTCTAACATTTGCTGGAACTTATACTTAAGTCGAAACTCAGGTGACTCGGAACTCGATTTGACTTTCGACTCGGGGTTGAGGACCTGACTCAACACTTGGAAACTACGGATATACTGATTGTTAATAGATGTTGGTGGATGCAACTCTTTAACGGAGAATCTATGGTTTTTAAAAATAAAAACACCTCAGTAGAAGTAATGCGGAAATTTTTGCGGATATTTCTATTTTGGTATTTATTATGACATTATTTGCTTAGAAGCTAAAATTTTTTTCAAATTTTATGCTATTAAACTCTATAACTTGTTGTATACTTTCCAAGGATCGAATTACATTCGATACCATTATATCAGAGCAGCGTAATCTACGAACAACGATTGAGGATATTTATGATAAAATGCAAGCAAGCAAAACTGAGGTAAGATAAAACTATGGGAATTGCATTCGAAATTTTAATATAGAATTTACGTGCAACGAAGCTTGCAACTTTGGACGTATGTCGTTACATATAAATTAGAATCACTCGCATATAATGCATAAAAATACCCTATTTTGCACAAAAAATGAAGTTTACTCATTCTGGTTCTGAGTTTTCGTTTTTACATGTTTCACATTAATATATAGCACATGGGATGTGAGGCTGAATATGGGGTTTCAATTGAAAAATTTAAAAAGGGGATGCACTAGGTGCTAATACCAGAAAGAAAATTTCTGATTCGCAAAGCGGGAATGATTCAATATTACTTTTTCAAAAACGCGGTGTTTCTTTGTTTCACCTTTTTGATCTACCCCTTCATTTTTCAGGCAGACAGCAAGACAGCAAGCCCTAACTGCTGTACATGATTACATTGACGATGTTTGTAAAAGTCTGGAAGCTGAAAGAGAAACGGACAAAACAATCGTCCAGTGCATTGATACAATATACAAGCATTGCACGAATGTATTCAAATGGACTAATGAAAATTACGTAAGTCAGTCGCGCAAGGAAATTCGACTCACGGTGACCAAGTGAACTGGTCGATTAAGTACACCGTATTTTACACCGATTCGTAGTAATCGACATCCTAGAGCTTTCTATGTAGGCGTACTTTTTAGCTTCATCAAATTCTAAGTTTGGGCTATGTAACAGAAAGTGTACTGGATTTCGTTGGTTCAAATTGAACGCATTATCACTGTAATTATTCCGTCCCATTCAAAACCTACAAAAAGATATGATTCAGTTGACAAATTACTTTATTTATAATATCGATATTAAATTGTTTTCAGCATCAAATCACTGGCGGAAGAATTTTATCAGAATTTGATAACTTACAGAAAAATGTCAATGATATTTTTAATGTGTTACAAGCCAGAAAAATAGAGGTGAGATTTTCCTATCTATGGTATTTGAATGTCTTGCACCATACCTGCATATTTACGAGAGCAGTAATTTTGTGCGAAAACCTTAATTTCCGAATATAGGTTTAAAGATTTATGACCAGAAGTAATTCAATTTCATGGTACGTTTTGGGTCAAGATAGGTGTAAAACTGAGAAAGTACTTACCGTAGAGCCGAGTAAAGACAGTCGAATTTATACCGAAATATTATATTATTTGAAAAATGTACTCAAACTAAATTGGTCGCAGAGTAGGAAAACAACATTCTGACCATATTTTATCTACTAAAATAATTGCATATCTTTTTTCTAAAGTAAAGTATTTATCAGCAATTATTATTTTATCAATAACTATGCCCTTAACTATAAGTTGAATGTGACTCTTCGGAGCAAAACTCTAAATCAAATATTGCTAAGGTTCTTTTTGAAGTATTTTTAGTTATATATCTATCAACTATTCATTTTATGTAAAAACTCAATGAAGTTATATTTCCTAAAAGGTCGAAGCTGAGCGTGAACGACAGCGGGCAGAAACGATTAGAAAGCGCGCGGAAGTAATCAACAATCTCCGAGCCCACATTTCCGAGGTCAGATCGAGAGTTGTATTCAAAAAGTTCAAGAACAGATTGACTGAAGAAGATTTGAGATTGATATTTAGTCAATGTAACATTGCAGAAAGACATATCGAGGTGAATATCGCGTTGCCTATGTTGGTATTAAAGGTTAAAATCTTGATTGAAATGCCATATCAACATACTAACCCAGTGTGTAACAAATTGGCTAAAAAATGTCAAAACTGTATTAGTCTATTAACATATTAGCTTATGTCACATTCTAAGGTTTTGAGAAAATTGCATTTTTGTGGTAGTTAAATAAAAACCTACCTTAAATAATTTACCTAAAATAAGTTACCTAAAATAAAAACTAAAAGGTCCAGGTTTGTAACCCCAAAATGGTCTATAAATACATAAATTCAGATAATTTCTAAAAAATATGACTTGAGCTCCTTTGATTCTACTCGATTGGTGTTGTAAATAATTTAATTGTTGTTCAGGAAAATTCAGATACGATCCAACTGGAAGTCCAATATTTGGATATACGCAAAATGACTGAAGATGTGTACAAAAAGTTAAAAAGAATTGACACGGTGGGGTGATTATTTTAAAATGTATTCCCTTTTGAAGCTTGCTACATTTGGACTTAGTTTCGTCAATTTTACTTTTCGTAGACCTGTCTGTTACTTTTAATATTATAACGTTTTTTCTTCCCGTTGTATATATGATAAAATATAGACAATATTATTTAAATTATTATTTTTTCAATCATTACTGATTATGAATATTAAATGTTTTTAGTTAGAAAAGGCTGAGGTGGCAAGGAGGCAAGCCGAAGAGCAAAGAAAGAAAGATGATATGTCTCAAAAAGTGAAGAGTTACATCGACCGTGTCCAACGTCTTACTGTGTTTGAGCCTCTCACGTCTAGATTGACAAAAAACGATGAAGCTCGAATTCAATCTGAATGCATCAAAGCAAATCAGTTTTTAATTGCGGTACACAAACCTATTTGCTCAGAATCTTAAAATATCAAAAAAGGGTTTAAGCGTAATGTTGTGACGTCCAATATGGCCACATACGTTGGGACAAGTCATACAAAATTAGATTCTTTACTGGAATATTTTCAAGTCATTGTAGAAAATACCGCTAGTGTCAGTATTTGGCCTAAAGTTAGTTTTTCACCGTGTGGTTTTCATCACCAATATTCTGTCAAATATAATAAAACGTTTATTCATCTAATAGGAAAACTTGACTTCTGCTGAAATTGAAAAAAAGTGTAGAGAACTAGAGGAATATGTTAAAATTATTTACAAGAAGTTTTAGAAATGGAAGGTATTTGATCTAGTTGTTGCTTGTTTATTCCAAAATTAGTTCATGTGTTATATGTAATGTATATTATATCTTCGATCCAAAAAAATGAATTTTTTTGAAATTCAATTGAGTTTATTATTCACGACTTTTTAACCTGCAGAGTAGATCTTTTGTTTTCTCAAAATTTATACATATTCGCTACTTTCCAAATTTTTCTATAATTTCGTAATTTTGCTATTAATGAGAATATATCTGCGAATCCAATCGGACATAGAATCTTGTTTTATGGGAATGGATTTGACGTGATTGTTCGCTAAAATTTAGTGATTGAGATGTTAGCTTGTTCGTCCGTTTTTTGTGTAAATCCTCCAACATATAGCTGTGTCCTTCACAGTATTGTTCAAACTTTTTCAAGTAAAGCGGTGTTACTGATCTACTGATTCTAAAAATAAGGCTGTACGTAAAATTCTTAGTGCTCCAGTCTTTACATAATAACTCTTCTATCAGTAATCTTTCGGTATTTGGTTGATGGCTCTGGATCTCGCTTTGAGCAGTTTAACATAAAAGTATTATTTTAGAAGTTTCTTTTTGAAATTTTCAGATAGCAAACAAATGCAAAGATGATTTAATAGAATGGAACAACGCTGAGGAGAGCTTATCTAAGTGCATAAATTACTGGAAACAGTTAGTTATTCACAACAGAGGAAAAGATAAAATAACGGATAAGTATTTCAACAAAATAGTTGAGATGTACACGGATGCTGAGAATTGGTTTCTGGTTTCCTATGTATGTATAGGACACGTTCTTTTTTAATATAAAATAATATTAACATTAATATTTTAATATCAATGTTAAAGTTGCAAAGCAACTGTTCTAGCTTTTATGAATTTTAAACAAAAATAGACGCAGTTTTTTTATTCTTATTTTAGAAAGATATTTCGCAGAAAGAACTTAGAGATAAACGTGAGGACTTAGAAACAGTTGCTTCTAAAATTTTAAAGAGTATGCAAGATGAGAAACAGGTGACAACTTAATTATAATAATTCTGTGAATATGACACCTTAGTCTTTATACTATATATAATTCGTTTCGTGTATTAGGTCCTTCAGCACATCATTTTATGGTCAACGTCTGTTTATGACCGAGTTTCACAGATACTCGTGAAAGTTCGTTTCAATTTCAAAGATCAAATGAACAAAAGAAAATATTTAAAATTAGACATGTGACAGCATGTCTCTTGTAACATTTTAATTCAATCAGAATAAGAAAGACATATTTTGATATTGATATTTTTTTTTCATCGAAATGAGTCGTTTTTTATATTGTTCGTAATCACAGAAACGTGATCGAAAAATAGTCAGAGAAGCCGATGAATGTCGAATGTTTATCAGTCGTGTCAGATCCTTTGCTGTTTTTGGAGAACAACGAAACAAACTCACGTCAGAGGATATAAAGTCAATAACAAGAAAATGTAATGAATTAAAAGGATGGCTTAGTTCATACCCAGTGAGAAATTTTTCTAATTCTTAGGTTAAATATTTCTCTTCATATATTTATTTTTCTGTTTCTACTGACATCAATTTTAAATATCACACTTTGCATGAAACTTAAAAAAAGAAATAAAATTATTTTTAGATTACTGAGGATGAAATAGAGAAACAAAGAACGGAATTAATAGAGTTTGTAGAAAGATTGAGAAACCGAATAAAAAAAGAACAACAAGTATAGTTTTTATATTATAATCATAAACCTCAGTAGCACAAATTATTACAAGTCTTCTAAATAGAAATTGAATTGCCTTCCTCATTAAATCTGACTACCTAAAGGCAGTTTTTGCGGGTAATATTTGGAACGGGATTCTTGTTGCGTATACTATTCAAAATAATATTTATCAAAAAAATTTGCTATTAAGACCAATAGGTAATATTTTCAGAAGTGTCGTATAATGTGATAAACTTATTATTTTAATCTAAAACAGTGAGAAACACAGATGAAATGAACAATTTTGTAACCAAAATATATGGCATCTTAGTAATACACTGATCAAATCATATTTTATGAAAAGCACTAATGAAAAGAAGCAAGCTGAATTGAAACAAACGGAACTACTTTAAACAGCCAAATCGTGATTGTCTCCTTGATCAATTGACACAAAGATTCATTATCGAAGAAGAAAATAAATAGAAGAAAAAGATTCAAAAATCATTTGCAACATAGCCGATGATGTGTTGCCCGGTGACGCCCCCACCGAAACATATGCCCCCGTGTTTATATAACTTAGAATCTGAGTTTTATTGTGGCTTTAAATAAAGATTTTTTCTGTTTTTTTTTTTTTTAATTTTTATTATGTATATTCATGCTTGCATTATACCCCCAAATTTTTAAAACCCATAATTAAAATTGAGAATTTCGTAATCGTACAATTTACAGCAAATTAGGATGTATAGATTTAGAATGACTTTGTTTCAGGTAATTAGTCGTACCTAATTTTTGAATTTTGTAAATTTCTTGTTTTTGTTTGAATACCCCATGCTTTTTTAGATTATTAACATTAAATTAGTTTGCGTAATCTGGTTACTAAAAAAGTTAGGAGGGTTTTATCGTAATATTGAAGTTGAAGTAACATAGCTTAGAATAGAACAACAATGTCTTGATATCATCAATAAACATATGAAAATGTACCCTGTTTTGTATTATTGTGTTGATATTTTTTAGTTGGGAAAATGAAAGAATTTCTGTAGTTGCGTTGGCGAAATATTCTTGAAAAGAAATCAGCATAGAATTGTCTTGACAATTTCTAAGAAACTTCAAATGAACGGAACGATAGATAATAAAGGAGATAACTTTAAGTGAAGCTACACAGACGAGTTATTTATATTTTTTCTCATTTTTTATATGGAATATTTGTTGACTCACTAGCAAAATCTGGAGTTAAGGATATGCCTCAGTGAATGCCGGACACAGCAAAGTTTGAGGATTTCATGTACGAACATTGGAATTTTGACATCTTTTCATTTAAAAATATTACAATCAATTTATTTTTTTTTAATCTGATATTCAATCGTGGGTTAGCGCAATATTCCAATAACAAATTACAGAAGTTCAAAAATTAAAATTTATTTTTTGTTCGTTTTCACAAAACATACTTTTAAAGATGGATTATCACGCAAAAAATTTTGTGGCGAATTTGATTTTATATATTTTTTTAAAATTTTTGGCATTTACCGTTAACATAAAGTGGACTTCGTTTGCGAGAATTGAATTTTCAAAAGACAACCCTGCCAAAATCGAACGCAAATTAGTATGTTCCCTTGACGACGAAGTAGTGAGAACTCGTCGGCGTAATTTTGCGTTGAGTCAAGGATATTTTTTGCGTTTTGTGTAGTTATTTTGAAGCGTATGCAAATTCTATTGCATTTGAAAAACGCTTCTGTGGTTTATATACATACCAATATCTTCAAATAATATCATTGCATCATAATTAATTACAGTGAATTCAACTAATCGAGGTCAAGATGTACTCGAGTTCTGTGCTGGATCTTTTGCTGCAACATATTTTCCAACGAAATAATGCATACCAGACAATTCATTGTCTTGAATCATCTAGATTTTATAATTTATGTGGGTTTATTCTAATTCTGTGACTAGTTTTTTGTTATATTGCCGGTATACATACATTGAATTAGCATAATTCGTATGTTAAAAATTACTATTTAAATATTTATTTTCCTGTTTCTACTGACATCAAATGTAAATATCACACTTTGCATGGAACTTAAAAAAAAATTAAAATTATCTTTAGATTACTGAGGATGAAATAGAGCAACAAAGATCGGGATTAATGGAGTTTGTAGAAAGATTGAGAAATCGAATAAAAGAAGAACAACAAGTATAGTTTTTATATTATAATCCTAAACCTCAGTCGCAAAATGAAAGAAAATAACCGGTAAATATCAAATCTTTTAAAGTACCGGTAATCTAGCTGCTCTCATTGAAATCGTGCCAAATTCGCTGACCAATCGCTAAAATGCGATCAATCTGTCATAAAATTCGAAAGCTATCGATCCAATTATTAAAAAGAAAGACGATCTTTTTCAAGAATAATATCAACAACAGCAACAGCAACGATTTAACACAACGATTCATAGATCCACTGCATATCCAATAATATGTAGCACAAAATGTTGGGTAGAGGAAACATAAAAACTGTTGGGAAAATCGTAAATAAGTGTAGAAAGAGAGAAATTATCGATGTGATGCTTCTGAAATTCTAATAAAATATCGTATCACATGGAAATAAAAATAATAGCTTACTAGCCTAGTTACTTCACCCCTATTTTCAATTTATGAAAAAAAGTGAAATTAATATATCTATGAGTAGCGAAGGAAATCAAGTATTTTAACAGAAACTACAATTTAACAATACGGTCATCCATCTTGTAAAGGTGCAATTTTGTATAAATTAACTCACCCATACTCCCTCGTTTACTTCGTTGTACTTGGCGATAATTTTTTCTTTGTTTGAATTCTTAATTAAATGTTGCAGATCTTGAGATCGATAAGTATGTTGATAGGTATTTGTCTGTCTGTATGTCTGTGTGTTAGATGCACGCGATATCTCACGACAGCGAGGTTGAATCTTCTCCAAATTTTGCATGTGCATTCATCATAGCTCGGATTAGTAGCCTATTGATATTGGATGGATTATGTCTTATAATTAGCGAGTTAATAATTAATTAATAATGGGGCACGCGGTGTCACTATAGAGTCATGAATCGAAACCGCAGTTTCGATCGATAAGTCTTCGGTCTCCGACCGATATTCTCGTTTAGTTATTATTAGTTAAGTTATGCTAAGACAGTGTTAAAATGTATACGTAAGTTATTAAGCACCTGTAAATTCCTACCATGTATAATAATTTCAGTTGAGCACTAGCTCATATAAGGTTGTTGAATAGGTACGATGCGGTAATGTCAAGAAAGGCTAGACCTAAAAAAATATGCCACAAACAACGATACGGTATTTGTATGCTTGTATGGAAGGTTTATGACTTGAATATTCAGCAGACCTATACTACTATATAAGCTACAGCATATTTGATTCGGAAAATAATGACCGTTTTTGTAATGCACGTTTGTGAGAAAGAGGGGGGAATCACCAATTTTACTGATGTCAGTTGGTCCAAATTCATAAAGCCAATAAAAACGTGGGCAGCAACGATAAGTTATGCAGATGTTGAAGGAAATGAAGCGATTGAGAGGAGACAAATCATGTATCAAGTTGTAGGCTGACAGTTGATGTTTTAATAAATACAGGGTATTTCAGACTGTGTGATTTAAATGTATCAGTGTAGATATAGTCTAGCATGTAAGCTCTGCAGAACATATATTGCTACTAAGCGTTTTCCACCTTTTATAGACTTCTCTGTCCTTCCCCCGAAATATATATATGATCAAAAAATAATTTCATCATACTATATCCTTAGAATATAAAAGCACATTCACGCAACAATTCAATTTTTTAGGTAAAAAAGACAATCATATTACCCAGAGCTGGAAAAAAAATTAAAATGTAATTCATTTATGAGATACCATGATAGTACTATATAGTAACGGACGTATCTTTTTGGACATATTGCTCATACCTGCTTTTATATATACCAGAGGTGGCCAACACATCGATCGCGATCGACCGGTCGATCGCCACGTCTCGAGCAGTCGATCGCGTCTGATGTTGAATGAATTTATTAACATACCCCAAAAATTGCTTTGAACCATTTCGGAGTTTTAAAACAGGAAGAATACAGTACACGTATACAGCGCGTGTGTCTTGACCAGGGGTCTTAAAACTTAATTTACCTGGGGACCGCCGAGACGGAGCCTTAGTGAGTCCGGGCCGCAACCGTTTTTTCACAATAAAAGCATTAAACTTAAAAAGTTAAATCTTTTTCACTGTTTTTCTATACGCAAAACATGTCAAAAATGTAAAGTGTGTAAGTAACTCCGCGATGGACCTTTCCCCGAGCATCTACTTCCTTGTTTATTCCGTAACATAGGCTAATCCGCAAGACGCAAAAAGTGACGTAACAATAGACTTATTTGCATACGCTCAGACATTTGTCAATCAGAAATATTTTCAGGCATGTTTGTAAACATTACCTCGTTTTTGCATGCTATTTGTTAGTTTTAGGTTGTGTTTCAGAAATTCAAGTATGAATCAAAGAACTCAATGATCATTCTGATTGATTGGGCGTCGTGGCTTAATTGCTGCAATCAAAAGTCTAGAAATAGCTGTGATAAACTTGGCTAAACTTCTCTATCGGTACTGTTGAAAAACAGGTTGGTGAATGTTTTGAATCGAAACGATGACGTGAAACATATAACCCAGTTTATAGGCTTCAACTCGCGAAGCCACCTCTAAAATAAGCACCAAGAATTTGCAATGGTAAAGTATAAGAAAATTTTCCGGGGTCAAAGGTCCATCGAATATCATGCCTACAGGTACGGTACTAGTAGGTTACCGTACCGCATATTCCTTTTGGGAATAGATTATAAAATATTTTGTTTTTCTCTACTTGTCCTGATCATATATTAAATGCATCAATCATTCTAACTGAACTGAGTGACTTGCGGGCCGCACTAACATTAAACTTTCGTACCAAGGCGGGAGCCGCAAACTATCGTCCTGCGGGCCGCGAGTTTGAGACCCCTGGTCTTGACTGACAAACGAATATGCAATTAGCTTCTGCAGTATGCGAAAGTAATTGTCTCACTCCAAGCGAGCAAAGAATATCCCTAGGAGGAAATTGTAAATTAGATACTGAAGTTTGAGCAGTCCGATACATTCATCGTTTGAGAATATTCATTTTCACGGTTTAGATCACTGTTTCTCAACCAGGGGCCATGGCCCACCTTTGGGCCACAGGAACATTTTCAGGTGGGCCACATACCCATTGAAAATTTCTAGAGTTATTGATAAATCACTTTGATCGTAGTAGCAATGAATGATGAGGCTGTTTTTGCTACTGAGTGTCCAATCTCATTTTATTTATTAAAGTTGAAGTGTATATCTTTATAAAAAGGATTTTTTTTCTATTTTTCCCGTGGCTTTTCCATTACATGAGTAATTTAATGTGCAACAACAATTTTTGTGCAAAATAAGTGGGCAATAAATGAAAAAAAGGTTAAGAACCACTGGTCTAGATATTACTTGAATACTTGACAGGGTTTCTTGAGGCATTTCTAACACTTACGATTAAAAATTAGGCAGGCCATATATCTGAATGAATCGAATAAATCTTAAATAAATGATGAAACATTTACTCCAGGTACAATTAAATAATCAAATTAATAACTTCAATGGAACATGAAAAATAAAAAATTTGTGTCGATTTTATTAAGAATTCGCCTAGTAATAGGCCTAGCCATTCGTTTAAGTGTATGACCTTATTACCGATCAGTCGATCGCGAACTATTTTGAAGATTTCTGTCGATCGCGGCCGAAAGCAGGTTGGCCAACTCTGATATATACCATGGTCCATGACACTGTGAATATGCCACACTTAAAACATCTGAACTAAACTTATACAGAATTACACTTTTAAGTTTCACCCTTGATAGAATAACATAACAATCTGATTAGCATATTTTACAAAAATAATAAAAAATTCAAA